AATATGCTGCGAGGTTATTCAGACTTTTAATAATGTTATTTTGTTTACTTATTTATATTTTTAAATTTTTAGTTTTAGGTTATCACAGGGTATCCACGGATGCCACAAGATTTTGTTTCTTTTTTTTTGTGATATCCTGCTCTTTAGTAAAAATAAATCTTATCTTATCTTTTGGACACTTTCACCGAAACTTGAAAAATTCATAACTTAGCTTGGATCTTAAAATCGATCCAAGCTACTGCAAAATTTCAGAATATATTCCAGTTTATCTGTCATATACTATGGATTTTAATAAAAGTTTTAAAAATCAATAGAAAGTACTTGCGTTTTTAAAAAGTTTTCTAGGAATTTTTGGAAGCGGGGAATGCTGTTTCTGAATCTCAACTGCAGGACCAGATGAGTTAAGGATTTTTCAAGTTTCGGTGAAAGTGTCCAAAAATAGGTTATTTCACTTACTATAGGTTTTTACTAAACTCCCGAATTTTCTTCTAAAAACAAACATTGCCACATAATAGAGCATGGTCGAAATAACATATAGTTAAGCGGAAGACCGGATTTTACTTGGAGCAGTGGGACTATCCGAAGCTTTCGTTCGGGAACCTCCAAGATATATGGAAACATAGGTTTTTTGTCATGCTCTATTGTGTGGCACTGTTTGTTTTCAGAAAAAATTCAGAAGCTAGTAAAAATCTATCATAGATGAAAAATAACCTAATTTTGGACACTTTCACCGAAACTTAAAAAATTCATAACTTAGTTAAAATCGATCCAAAATTTCAAAATATATCCGAGTTATCTGTCTTATACTACGGATTTCAATAAAAGTTTCAAAAATCAGTAGAAAGTACTTGCGTTTTTAAAAAGTTTTCTAGGAATTTTTGGAAGTGGGGACTGCTGTTTCTGAATCTTAACTGCAGGACCAGTTGAGTTATGAATTTTTCAAGTTTCGATAAAAGTGTCCAGAATTAGGTTATATCACCAATGATAGGCTTTTACTAGGTTCTGGATTTCTTCTGAAAACAAACAGTGCCACATAATAGAACATGACCGAAAACCTATGTTCCCATGTGTGAAATCCGGTCTCCCGCCTAACCATGACAAATGGAGACTCCTTTCTTTCTCGATTTTATAAAGAACACCATCATTTGCATATTTTAGACATAGGAATCACTATGGGACAATAACCCATGGTAATCTATTCGTTGTCAAGTACCACCACCTGCAGGTGGTATTTTCGATTTTATGTTTCCATAGAATCATGTGGACAGGGCTTGGCTACACACTGACGAAGATCGCATATTTTGATCGTGTTGCGTTTGAAAGCTGTTCGGAAAACATTCACAAGCAGTGCTTTTTGGTTTCGATAGTAGTATTTATAGCTTTTAAGAACATTCATCATGGTTGTTAAAAAGAGTCACATGCCTCATGAAACCTTACTTTGCCTTGTTTCATTGCAAAACTCATCACTCTCATGATATCCAGTACAGTTGTTACTTTCACTGTTCCGTAATCTTCCATTGCGAAGTTGTAAACAAATACTGAAGGACAGTTGCATGCCTAATAAGTTAGAAATTGTGGTAACTTACTGCCTACTTCCATAAATGACGTTGGATCATAAGAAAAGCCACTGTGATGATTACCACGGCCGCCTATAGAAGAAGACATTCAGAGACCTATTAATTATTTATGAGAAATCGATATAACTAACAAAATATATGCTCATCGGGCAATTCTAAGTTGAAAATTGATCGAATTCCAGCTCTACAAATGGAGAACAGATCGAAATGCGTAAGGTCACTTGTAATTATTCGTACTGAAGAAATTGATTACATATTCCATTTTGACTTGTAGTTGGTCTTGAACATGCCAGAAGATTATCAGTTATCCTGAAATGTTAGTTCAGTCGGAAATATATACTTAAATTTCTAATTCAAAAATATACCAGTTCGAAAATATTCCCTTTATTGCCATTTGTTCAGGTCGCCAATAATCAGAACGCTCATATTTACATCGGTTACCTTTACAGCCTAAGGCAGTTAGCAAAAAATAATTTTGTTTCTCGCTACTTTACTCCAATACAATTTCGATTTTACCTAATCGACACGCCGTTCGTTCTGGTAGTGCTTTTTTGACTAACTGAGCAAGAGGTGAATAGGCACTTTGTGGCGCAGACATTGGTGCTTGAAATTCGTTTAGCCATGTTTCAGCTACATGTTTTTGCTTTTGAATAATCAACACGGGATCGATAAACGATTTGATTTCGTGTTTACCATCTTTAACATCACGCATATTTTTATTTCGATTTTGTTCTACCACACAATCAATTGAAAAGTTGTCACTAGACGTACATGGTTCGCCACTTCTTAATTTGTCTAAACTATGATGATCTGTAAAATCATCATATTTATAATTTTGAGAAACTTCGATACTCAATGTTTGAAGAGAGCGGATTCTTGATTTTGTGAGTCTCATAGTACTGTGTGGCATTCGAGAATTGGAAACATCAAAACTAATAGTATGGTTTCGCGTCATCATATTTTTCAATACCATAAAGAGAAAATTAATAAAATTAAAGGAGAATATGCCATCAATCTAGAGAAACTTTTTGAACAGTACGGCATGAGAGTTTTAGTGTTTAACCAGAATTTATTTATCCACGACATTTTAGTTTCTATCTATTACATCGTACCATGCTGTACCATTCCCTTACTCTCTCTTCGCCATTTGCAATTTGATAACAAAAATGATTGCCAAAAACAACTGAAACCTTGACTTGCTTTTGTCAATCATTTTTTCTGACAACAGCGTTGAGAAAACTAACTGCTAAATGGAAGGAAATTTACTAACTAGGAGACCTCTCCAACTTGAAAATCAGTTCAAAAAACAGTGGACAATAGGTTATCGACCGTGCTGATGTCGAATATGAACGTGCTTTTTGCCGCTAGGCCTTTCAAGATTCGATTTTCTAGAAAACCAGTTTTTCAGAAACTCTAAAAAATAACCAAAACCTTTCTTAATGACGCACAATTGTAGCGCGCACATTTCTCATTAAAATGGGACATCTTCCAGCTCTACACGACCTTTCTTTACAAAGTTATAGAATTTACAAGAAAAGGTCTAAATTAATTTCTTCTTATTTCTGTAGATTTGAGCTGCCAATGAATATTTAGGCTTTTTCTTGTAAATTCTATAACTTTGCAAAGAAAGGTCGTGTAGAGCTGGAAGATGTCCCATTTTAATGAGAAGTGTGCGCGCTACAATTATGCGTCATTAAGAAAGGTTTTGGTTATTTTTTAGAGTTTCTGAAAAACTGGTTTTCTAGAAAATCGGATCTTGAAAGGCCTAGCGGCAAAAAGCACGTTCATATTCGGAATCAGCACGGTCGATAACCTATTGTCCACTGGTTTTTGAACCGATTTTCAAGTTGGAGAGGTTTCCTCGTAACTCAAGCTTTCTGAACAATCGACACTATGGAATGCAACAAAACATAGGGAGAAAGCTTAATAATTCCGATTAAGCCAATGGTTCACATATTGATGCTTACATTAGAAAAGCCCAACAGATTCACGAAAAACTATACAAAAAAAGAGGATTTTCTCCCCGCTCATAATTCTAATTTGTCGATTTGCTTTCATACTGAAAGCTCGTTAGGAGGTTCCATAGCAACCGCGCTCTAGCCAGCTGTCAAAGTATAGTGTAAAAGAAAGATCACCCATTCCATAAGAAAAATAACAGTTGAAAAGGGAAAAGAACTTTTGTATTAAAGTGGATTATGTAATGTGATGCATTAGTCACAGTCATTTATGCACATACTTTTGGGAAAATTTGTGATATATGCCTTATTGTTTGTTTGCTTGTTTAGTTATTTGTTTAAACAAATAGATTCATAAACTCAATCCAGAAGTAGTACTGTCAAAATTCTTACGACATTGGCAACTTCATTTGTCCTTTTTTATGTTTATTTGATTGCCAGTTTGTTTTCTTCTGCTACAGTGTGTGGCATGTTCTGTTTTGTTTACTTTTAGAACATCAATATTATTTTTTTGTTAACTGTTGTTTATTGAATTTGATTTATTTAGTTTATTTTGACTTTATTTTTAAATTAGAATCCAAACAACATCTCACAAGAACGAAACATTAAAGCGGGGTAAGAAAAAAATATGAAATCGATATTTTCCACAATGATTTCTTGCATGTTCAAAACTTTTTTCTGCCTAACGGAATGCTTGTTATGATTGATGTAAAGATTGCAAAACTATATACGTATTTTATGTTTGATATAGAGGACTGGAACTTTAGAATTGAAAAGCAATATAATTTTTCTCGTTTTTTATAAGGTGCTTTATTTAGAAAACTTGCTCATTTCGCATTTTGAAGAATTAACAACAGTTTCGTCTTTGCGAAAATTATGAAAAAGTCAGCTTCTGTCCAAAATCCTGTTAAGCGATTAGCCTTCTTCCAGTAGTTAGCATTCACCAAAAAAATACTTTCAAAACTAGTTAGTTGAAAAAAACTAGAGTTTATAATTCATATGCTTCATCATGTGTTCTGATTCTTTTTCTAGTACTTTTTTGTTAAACCATTTTATTTTTGTTCAATGTTTCTAAATTTACTATGACAATAGTTTTAACAGGAAAAGTAATGTTCTGAATTGTTACAAACAGTATTAAATGGGAATATTTCATTTATGATTTCAGTTAGAGGAAAAGGAAATTCTTTTATCTCTTTCTGAATGATTGCTGACAAATTTTTTAGTCACTCAGTAGTGTGAGTTTCGACAGACGTTAAATTTTTTTTAACTGAGTAATTATGGTAGAGATGAATCAATTCAGTACGTCAGTTTTTTTGAATACTACAGACTAGTGAGTGACTACTGTTATTTTGTTGTGTTGACTTGAGTAAGTAAAACGTAGTTACTCAGAAAAATTTTCTAATTATTCGCTAAAGTTTCCTCTATCTCACCAAAGTTGTATCAGAAACGTAGTAAGAGAATTTATATATCTAACTTTTGATTATAACTTGAATAATAGTCATTTAAGTCTTTAAAGTCTATCTGTATGAATGGTTGGCTCCTAATCTTATCTCATTTCAGATAATAAATGACTAATATTATACTGGTTTCTCGAAAAAATATCGTTTTTATTGTTCATTGCTCTTAAATATGATCAAGCATTTTTTAAAATGCTTAAAATAAATATTTAGTTTTATTGCGTCCATAAAGTTTCTATTTTGAGATTCATTCGATTATTTATATTTTTAGTTTTTCTTTTTGTGTTCAAAGTGTGAATAGAAACTTGATTTTTAAAGATTGTTTGAGATCGAATGAAAAAATCTTTCCGTCCGTATTTTCTTCCAAAAGGTAATAGAAATCCTTATATTCTATTCTAAGTAAACTTAATTTTCCCTGCTGTTCTTTTTTTTTACACATTGGAAAACGTTCACATTCACACTTTGTTGAAGATAATTTTATATTAACTCGCAAGATTATAGAATAAGACTTTTTGATTTTCTAATAGTAGTAAAGAGTGTGTTGTATGACAAATACGACTGATATTTAGTATCGTTAAAAATACGATCTTAAAAATGTGTATATATTTGAACAAAGTATTACTGTATTAAAAATCAAACTAATATTAGCTTCTTTATTGTTCAATTCTGCATTTCCTTTTTCTTTCTATTTTTGTTATTTGAATTCAGTTTTGCTGTTTTGAAACAATGGTCATTTTTTTTCTCCTTCTGATTCTTCGTTACCCAATTTATAGTTGATTATGTTTTACACATATAAAATATACAATTTTTTTTCTCTTCTATCTTTTCCGACATGGTATATGAACTTTCAAGAAAAAAAAAACAAAAAAACGTAGAATCATCCTATCTTCTTTCCAAAGTTTGCTCTTTAATAAATGGAATGATGAAGAAGAGAAGAAAAAAAAATCCTATTTTATGGTGAAAAAGAATTTATTTTTTCTTCTGTTGTTGTGTGATAATGATTGATGATGCAGGAGATAAAAGAGATTTGATTTCTTTTTTTTAGTTTTTGTGCTGTGCACACAATATCACATTATTAATATTAAAGAGGCTCTCAGTTTTTTCAGGAAAAAAAGAAGAAGAAGAGATGATCAGAAAAAAAAAACGAGTGATAAAAGAAACCTTGGTTACATCATGTTAACATAGTGAACTTACCATTTAAATAACATCATCCTATTTCGAATTTTTGTCTCTCAGCAACCCCATATTTAAAGAAACATCCGTGGATTTATGTGTAATTTTATAGTTTTAATCGTGGGAAGTGACAGATTGAATGCGTATGAGGTAAAAGGAAGATGCAGATATTTAACTCTGTATATTTATATCAATCGACTCATATGGAGAGAAAAAGAAAATTAAAATCTGGAAAAAAAAATATGCATATTCCTCTAACTTAACGCCTTTAAGACCGTTGGTGAGTTATCTAAATTGATAAGCTGTGTCGTTACAACGACTAATATAAAAATCGATTTTGTATAGTCTACAAGGACTGATTACTTTTAGTATTCATTTTTGTTGTTGTTATTTTTTCAGATCATCTTTTATTGATATACATATATATATCTATATATGTACGTGTGTGTATACAATTGAATTTTAATCATAAAAAACTTTGTTGTTTAAGCAAAAAAATTAGTGAGGGTGTTACTCTACATTGCATTTTTTTTCCTCTCTTTTCTTTCTCTCTCGTATAATATTCTTTTCATCTTTCTGACATATCATTCGTTATATGTTGTTGTTTTTTCCCTCGTTATTTCTTTTTTTGCTACTATTCGTGATTTAGATGGTAATAATAATGAGAAAGTATGTTGTCATAAGATTAGATGCTGAACGCGTATCACCGACTTCTGTTGTTATTATTGGACTTTTTAGTCCCTTCTCATTTTTTTTTCTTCTTCTTCTCAGCTTTTATCCACCTTATCTACGGTGAGTGATAGAAAGGTTTTCTATAAATACAAATAGAAGTCAAAGTTTTCTTTCCTTTTTGTTTTCTTTTTTTTCTTCTTCTTCTTCTTCTTCTGTAGAGACTTGCAGTTTCCTAAGTTTAATTTACGCAACCGCTAGCAGTGGAGAAAACAAATACATATAATTAGTACAAAAAAACAACGTTTCTGAATAGAGATAAGAAGAATACGTTCATCATGAGATCTAGAGATTTACGACTTATCAGAATATCTGTAGGATATTTTTTGTTATCATTTTTTATTATTTCACACGATGAATTTTATATGCATCAACCGTTTTCAAAAAATTATTTGGTAGAAGAAAAAAAAAAAAAGAGTACAAAAATTTTAATCCGCTTAACTAGATCAAAAAAGAAAAAAGAAGAGGTTTCACACTCATCTTTCTTTCAACGATTAAAGAAATATGTTTAATCTTTTCTGAATGAGTAAACAAAAGTTTAAAAAATTTTTCTTTATACTTTTTAAGAATAAGAAGAATTCAAGATTCAATTTATAATCCATTGATATTTAGTTCTTGTTTAGAGATGTTTTATCAGTATAAGTAGATAGAATTCATGCTATCTATAGTCAGTTTACTTTAAAAAAATCTGTTCATCTCACATTATATTCTCAGTTTCAAGTTATCAAGTGGTTTATCTAGTTTTTTTTTTTCTTTTTATTATTATATTCTGTTTCGTTCTAGTTTCTGTTTTAACGCTAGCACACTGTACCTAATACACCTAACACGCACCAGCAGAGATGTATCTTTCTTTTTCTTTTTTGTTTTAGAAGAGAATTTTTTTTCTTCTTCTTCTTCTTCTTTTCCATAGATGCTTTGTTTAAGTTCGGATTTTTTTCTTCTTCTCTCCTTCTTGTCGAAAACACGTTAATAGCGTAGAAGTAATTACTTCCCGTCTTCTGTTTTTTTCTTCCTTGTACCACCGAACTACATTCAATTGCATTTTTTCCTGTTCTTTTTTTCTTGTTTTTTTGAGCGTTATTGTCAGTCAGTCACTTAAAACCCCCTCCTCCCGCTCGTTCTTCCGTTTTTCTTTTTTTAAAAATAAAAAAGAACTGGCGAATTTAATATGTTTTTTTTTCTTTATTCCAATATTCCGAAGTTTTCTCTATGTTACTTATGTTACTAGTCGTATAGATTGACTAAGGAGAACTAGTAGTTTTCTTTGACTAGGAAAAAAATAATACCGAACGGACATAATGCGCGCAAATATATTCCATTCATTTAAAACACTTCTTTGAATAGAAGAGAAAGAACAAAAAAAATTATCAATACACACACACACACACACACAGATTTTTTTTGTTCGCCAGTGCCACGAACATCACTTCTTCTTCTTCTTCTTTTCCCTGTTTTCAACAAGCGAACAAGAAGAAAAACCGACATTTTTTCTTCTCGTTTTTTTTTTTTTCTATTTATTATTAGAACATACATAGACACAATGAAGATCTTATAACGCGTCAATATTAGGCACACATAGATTCTTCTTCTTTTTTTTTTTTATATTTGTAAAAAAAAACCAAGTTAAAAAGAATTTTTTTTTGAAAAGTGAAGAGGCATTTTGTTTGTGCTTGTGCATAGAAGTCAGTCTATTTTCTATATTATATTATTTTTAGAAGACTATATATTTTTCACAAGTGAATATAAACTAACTAACTAACAACACAAAAAAAACCAATTGAATGTACTCATTAAACGAACGACGAACAAGCTGAATTTTGATTATTATTATTGTTATTATTATTATTAGAATTCTTTTGACAATATGAATAGTAACATATTTTTTCAATGATAATGTATCAATTTGTCTATTGTTAATGAACTGGTCCATTAGATTAAAATTATTATTCGCATAGGTTTATTCTTTTAGTTTGGTAGTTTGTATTTTCATTTCAATAGAAAAAAGAGTAAGAAACAAATTTATTTTCTTGTTAAAGATCTTGAATTTAAGTACATCATGTTATGTTTGTTAATCTTTGCAAACATTGTGTGCTTAGATCTAATCATTCAATCGAAACACAATAAAAACATAATGCTTTTAACCATCAATGTTGAATCATATACATATATATATATATATATATATTAGATTGAGATAATTCATATCACTTGCCTACAGTATGTGAAGAATAAAAATTCATTTGTTTATTTAAGAAAATGACATTATGTTTTGAAATTTAATGACAGAAAGTAAAAATTAGGATACATTTTTTTCTTTTCTTAGTGACACGACAACGTTATGAGTCAAAATTTGTACATAGACTTTAGTTTTATTGTACTGAAGGTCCTTGCATGAGATGTGTGATGTTAGTAACCTTTTTCTGTAATAATAATCGACAAGGAATATGAAACATATTGAGAATAATGACATTTAATTTGAACATGAAAAACCTCTGTTGTAGCCAAACACCGCATCATCATCATTTACTATTATTATTATTATCATTATTATTATTATTATTCTAATAAAACAAATAGGCATTAAGTTCTTGTAATAATAACATGTCTGAAAAGAATAAAAAAAAAAAAAAAAGAAAAAAAAATTATAGGAAATAACACATACACACACGTATCGTACATACAAAATGAGAAATATTTTTAACACCAAGTGAATAAGTCAAAGAGATAGTACACTAGAAAAAAAAAAAGAAGAGAGAAAAAGAAACTAAAACAAGGATGATTCAGATTTTCGAGAAATGCCATATGAACATAACCAATCATACTAGAAGTTGATGAACGCGGTTGTTTTTATGCAGAAGAATATTTTTTACAATCACTATGACAAAACACTATCTAATGATGATAATACATATTTAAGAATTAGTAGAAGTCATGGGGAAACTCTCGTCTTATTGAAAACATTAAGTCCAAATACTTTATGATGTAGAATTGGTATAAATTTTCGCTACTTGTAAACTGTTAGAAATACTTGAAAATTATTTTAGAATGATATGCTTGCTTGGAGAAAAAAAAATTCTTAATTTCAGTTATTCAAATGAATATTTCTAACAGATTAACTAAATTATAATTAACTCAAATGTGATTTCTCCATAATTGTGAATAAATTGTTCTCTACATTTGTGGATTACACTCTTGGCTCTTGTGAATAATTTATAAAGCGATGTTTTGCAAAAATGTTGTATTAAAAAATGATAAATATCATTTTTTCACAAATTTATATGTTTTTAAAAACAGAGTTAAAAGATTGTTTCTTGCTAATTTTTTTAGCAACATTTCACAGTTGCTTTTCTACATTAAGTTTTTTCTCTATTCTTCCGTTATAAAAAATAAAAAAAAAAAATGGAAGAACAATGAATCGAACATATTTCACTAATTTATTTTCTTCTTTTTTTTTTTCAAAGAAAGAATTCTGACGTGAAAAAAGTGTTCCATCATCATAATGACTGAAATTGAAAGTCTTCGTCAAGAAGCTGAATCGCTCAAAAATCAAATTCGAGTTAGTATTTTATTGATTTATTTTTAACTCTGATCTGTTTATATTGATTTTATTTTTATTTTTAGGATGCTCGTAAAGCAGCATGTGATGCTACATTACTACAAGTGGCACAAAATGTCGATCAAATTGGTCGAATTCAAATGCGTACACGTCGAACACTACGAGGGCATTTGGCCAAAATTTATGCCATGCATTGGGGATCTGATGCGAGGTATAGTATAATGTTCTAATAAGAATATTATGGAAAATAAAACTTGTCAGTTTTTCACATGGTTGATATTGGATTTTTTAAAAATAAATTCGAATAAAATGTACGAATTATATATTGAGCTAGTATTTGTTTGGATTTTTCTTTTTTCTTTATTATTTTGATCTACAATTGATCAACTATTGATTAATTTTCAATTTTTAGTTGTTCGTCTAGAAATTTAGTATCTGCATCTCAAGATGGAAAACTGATTGTTTGGGATTCCTATACAACCAATAAGGTATTTTAATCTTTTATATTTGTGTCTATTTTTATTAGATGAAATGTTATTTTATTATAGGTTCATGCTATACCACTTCGTTCATCTTGGGTGATGACATGTGCTTATGCGCCATCCGGCAACTTTGTTGCCTGTGGTGGTTTAGATAATATATGTTCAATTTATAGTTTGAAAACGCGTGAAGGAAATGTACGTGTTAGTAGAGAATTACCGGGACATACGGGTTATTTATCATGTTGTCGTTTTCTTGACGACTCACAAATTGTCACAAGTTCAGGAGATATGACATGGTAATGTAAAACATTTTTCATTAAAACTAAAATAAATGTAAGTTGTTTATGTATTTTTAGTTCACTATGGGATATTGAAACCGGTCAACAAACAACAAGTTTTCAAGGGCATACAGGTGATGTTATGTCATTGTCATTATCTCCAGATATGAAAACATTTGTATCCGGTGCTTGTGATGCATCGGCGAAGGTATAATGTCTATTACACATAGCATTTCTCAGAATATATTAGAATGTTTTGTTGTTATTAATTATGTAGCTTTGGGATATACGTGAAGGCATGTGTAAACAAACGTTTCCTGGACATGAATCCGATATTAATGCCGTTACAGTATGACACTAAAATTTGTTTTTTCTTTAACGTGGACAAATAGCTAATTTTCTTTTCTAGTTTTTTCCGAATGGTAGTGCTTTTGCAACAGGAAGCGATGATGCCACTTGCCGTTTATTTGATATAAGAGCTGATCAAGAAATAGGCATGTATTCACACGACAATATTATATGCGGTATAACATCAGTGGCATTCTCAAAATCTGGAAGATTATTGTTAGCTGGTTATGATGACTTTAATTGTAACGTATGGGATACATTACGTCTTGAACGTGCAGGTAAGTCAAAAATTAGCTTAGAAACCCATTGTCTAGAGAGAGACAAGAGCCATTCCTAAAAACATATACTGCTTTCAAAAGGGAAATAGTTTTTTCGAATCGTTTTACTCTCTATATTAGTTTTAATGAAATCAGAGCGTATAATAATGTTCAGTGTTTTCGATTTGGTGGCGGGTGGCGAGCCTGCTGAGTAACTAAAGTTTTTTTTATTCAGTAACGCATTTTTTGACTAAAACTTTTTTCTGAGTAACTCAGTTACTCAGGAGTATAAGAGCGAGTTTCTCAGCAAATAAATGAGTTACTCAGAAGCTAGAGAAAATCACTTACTCAGATGCATAAAAGGCAGTTTTTCAACTTAAATTTAAGTGTATTATTAAAGTTTCTGAGTAAGTGAAGATTTTTTGAGAAAGTGTATCCAAACGAGGGGGTGATTTACCAACCCCTACCACTCCGTAATCGATAGCGCTGATAATGCTTGATATATCTGTTTCCACACATTTTGATCTCATTTAATTGTGTTTTGCTCGCTATTATTTCTAGGTGTGTTGGCTGGCCATGACAATCGAGTTAGTTGTCTAGGTGTAACAGAAGATGGTATGGCGGTCGCAACTGGATCATGGGACAGTTTCTTAAGGATCTGGAATTAAATTTAAGTTAATGATGCTACTATTTAACATACACGCACATACACGCACACACAACAAATCATTAATATGCCAAAGAAACGTTTTCGTAATTTTTCGCTTATTATCAAAGTCGACACAAACCCATATATATCTACACAATTAAATTAGAGTGTGAGCTCAATTCTTACAACATACAAAGTTTAGACAAAAATAAACCAAATTTTTATTTCTTCTTGTTCTTTTTAATATTACGTGTAATTTATGTCGTATTCTCTCTTTCTCTCTCTCTCTCTCTCTGTTTTATATGTTTGTTCTTGTATTTTTACGTATGTGAGCAAAAAACAGAACGAACCGTGAGTAAAATCATTAAAATGCGGTTTTTCTTGAATCTATTTGCATTGTAAATGAAAGGTGACGCTTGAGCATGTCAGGTTTCATTACTGTCTTAATCTGAATAACAACGCCGTTAATCCTCTTGCCTGTTCGACGAGCAATAAAAATGATGATCTGATTTGCAATGTAAATTTATTCTGTGTGTGTGTGTGTGCGTGTGTATGTGTATTTTTGTACACAATTTGTCTTTTCCTTCTATGTCTATACACTTCTGAATATATTAGAATGTTTTCTCCTTCAAAGCAATATGCCCGTATGTTTTCTTATTTGATAAATAAGATTTGTGTATGTTTGTTTGTTTATTTGTTTATTGTTTTACGTTTTGTGCAGCCAATAACAAAACTGACGAAATTGTTTTTCCTTTACTTTTTTTTTCCTATCTTTCATATTTTAACCTAAAATGCAGATGGCGTATGTACAACAACATAGAAAACTCTTATTTATTATTATTAATATCAACAACAATTTACGTCGTCTCATATTTCTATCACTATTATTATGTACGTTATCGGCTCGTCACACAATCGTAGTTTTTCTTGCTATATATGTCGTTTCATTTATTATATCATCTTGCGTCAAGAGCAATATACAATAGAGAACCAGTTGTGTGAGTGTATTTATGTTGTTGTTGTTGTTTCTTATTTTTGAGAATGGATTTTTAAACCGCGCCGTCGCTTTTTCGTTTTTTTTATATCTTTTTTGCTGTATTTCTACTACATTTTTTCTTACACACATACACACTTTTTTTTAAACGTGTCTCTTAATCCTAGTTGTTGTTCTTCTTCTTAACAGTGATGGTTGTTCATGGCTGTCTTCTCTAGTGTTTTTTAATACGAGTTTTCGTTTTTTTTTTCGCATACGTGTCTTTCGCTTGTCTCTCTTTAACGCCGATATGAACATAGTTCAACATTAACTAAGAAGATTTACTCACTTAGCATCATTTCTTTTTCTTATTGTTGTTTGTTGTTTTCAAGCGAAAGCAGTTGTTCTAGTCGTTTTAAAAAATATATAAATATAAGAACTTTTTTTTTTCTCTCTCTTTTTCTCTCATTCTCGCTATATTTGTTTGTTTGTTTATTCAATCCATTAATTTGGTAATGAAAAAAAAAAGTATTAAAATCATTGTTAATGTTTGCGACAGTTTTTTTTCATTTCTTTTTTTTTGCTCTATTTCTATCTCTCTCGTCTATCTCATCTTATATTCTAATTATTATTATTTCACATATATATTAATACAATTCAAACAAATGTACTTGCCCTTTTTCTAGTGAATTATATATATTTCAGTTCGTATGACTGACGACTGTATGAGTCGAAAACACGATATTTGCTTTATTAATCATGTTGCTTTATTTAGATGGAATTACTATCATAAGGTAACAGTTACTCCATGTTTTCTATTCACAAAACATTCAATTATACAGATTTTTCGTTTAGAAAATGTAGCTGCCGAAACATACATACAGTACCGACATAATTGCCTGTATTGACTTTGAATTAGATTCTTCCATCGTATAAGAATGAAAAAAAGATAGCGTATTGATCATGATGTAGAAGTTGTCAATAACAACATTACTAAATTTTTGAAAAGCTAGAAGAAGAAAGAATACCCCGCCTTACGGCTACCATTACCGATATAGGGTGCTGCCGAATGACAGTTTCATTAGCCTGATATCTTCCTTGCAGTTGGCAAGCTTCTGAAATGGTCACATGTTGTCACTGATCATCAAGTGCGGCTGAGTGGCCAGAAGGCTAGTCTGACGCAGACTTCTTTCGCCCAATTACTTGAGCTCGCATACACACTTAATAATCACGTACTCTTTCTTTCCGAAAAGCCACGAGGAAGTTTATTATATGTCATAACGTAGTGAGTATACTATTGGATGAGACATCCAAGATATAACTAACTTGTTCAAGGTGTTTACATGAATTTGCCGGTACCGAGGTTCGAGCCCTACTTTTGAACTATGTGACGAATAACATAACCATCAAACCATGCTATTGAAAGTCTGATGAATAGTATCGGATGCAAAAGCCTGTAATCATCTGTCTGACGCTCTGGATTAAGAATTTCCTCTAGTTTTCAGAGAGTACAACATTTTCTATCACGTAACATTATGAAAATATCCCGCTCGCTTCGACAAAGATAAATTTGATTTTAGACGCTACTTTTTTCACTAATAGTCTTCAATTATCATTCACACGATTCTCTTATTTCGTTTCTCAGCTGAATTTTTGATGTGATAGATACCTCTGAACGCATAAGACGCAGTTTTCTATTTGTAAGTTGATAAAATTATTTCCCTATTTTACTCCTATATTCTATTTTTTTTAATATTATTTGGAAGAAACAGGAAATAATTAACAAGATTTAAACGGAAATCTTAATTATATATCATGTCAATATCTCATTTTTCTACGCCTTACCTATCGTATGTTGTATGCAAAGATGAAAATTATCAAAATTAGTTAGTAATTTAATCAGTAATAATTAATTTTTTAAAATGAAAGGAATGAAAATGAACTGTTAATGATATCGATACACACTGTATTGGAAAGCAAAATCTAAAGAGTTTGACATTGGAACACGTCTCATACACCTGTAAAACTGATGTAATTCTCTATGGTTGAGTATATTTCATAAAACGCGTCTTCCATGGACCACTCGCAAACAATATGATGAATTTTTTTCGAAAAACATCAGACGCTTCACAGAAGATTATAATACGAGACACTTTTTCATTATTAGCAAACAATATTTTATTAAAAACATTTATTTGCCGAATACTTGTGCGTGGGTCATTTGATTCATGGCTCATAAATAGATGATTTATCTTTATTTTATTGATTATATAAAACTTTGAGAACAAAATATGGTTCATTAACATCAAAATATAAATGGTAAATAATCCCTAATACTTTTCAAAATAAAATAGTAAACATTGATGGTACTAAAATATAAGACCTTTTTCCATGAATGCCATCGTGTCTCTGAGATAGATAAATTATATTCGTCTGAATGATGACATTCATGTTCAAGCTTTAGAAGTTAAGAACAGAGTAGAATTAATATTTACCTTAGTTTTTGCAGCGGTTATGAATTTCATATTCTTTATTTATTATGCTATTTTGACGATCACCGTGCAGATCAAAATATCATAATAAATAAAGAATATGAAATTCATAACCGCATACTATTCTTGATCAAGAAACCGTTCCCCATTTCAGAAATATTTATCTTGTTTATTAATAAAACAATTTCTTTCTATAAGCGATGCGAATGTACTTTAAAGCATAAATGAAAATCAAATTTAAATTTTTTCAGAAAATCTGTTCTAATAGACACTATCGAACAAGTGTTGGACAAATCACTCATACAGTCAACAGATTGAGAAAATAAAATACAAATATGCACTTGAAATTGACATTTCAAACATCAGTCATTTATGGCAGCAATATTGTGGACATGTTCTTTTTAGAGATAACATCTGTATGTACGTGATCGAACAATTCATAAAGTTCCAAACTCTTAAAATTCTACAGAAATGAAGAGTTGAATTCTATTTTCAGAACTTCTGTATTTTATAAAATTCCATCTCAACATTGCCTTAAAAGCGCACAAATAGGCGACAATCATATGGCGTAACATATTTTAGGCGTATTTAACCCTGTCCAGCCGGATGTTGGCATTTGACAACATTGTCTCCATATTTTGTAGGGATTGACTCATTGTAGAACTATATATCTATCTTTAAAACTGAATAATTATCTTTATACATCGTGGTGCATATAAATAGATGATTTATCTTTATTTTATTGATTATATAAAACTTTGAGAACAAAATATGGTTCATTAACATCAAAATATAAATGGTAAATAATCCCTAATACTTTTCAAAATAAAATAGTAAACATTGATGGTACTAAAATATAAGACCTTTTTCCATGAATGCCATCGTGTCTCTGAGATAGATAAATTATATTCGTCTGAATGATGACATTCATGTTCAAGCTTTAGAAGTTAAGAACAGAGTAGAATTAATATTTACCTTAGTTTTTGCAGCGGTTATGAATTTCATATTCTTTATTTATTATGCTATTTTGACGATCACCGTGCAGATCAAAATATCATAATAAATAAAGAATATGAAATTCATAACCGCATACTATTCTTGATCAAGAAACCGTTCCCCATTTCAGAAATATTTATCTTGTTTATTAATAAAACAATTTCTTTCTATAAGCGATGCGAATGTACTTTAAAGCATAAATGAAAATCAAATTTAAATTTTTTCAGAAAATCTGTTCTAATAGACACTATCGAACAAGTGTTGGACAAATCACTCATACAGTCAACAGATTGAGAAAATAAAATACAAATATGCACTTGAAATTGACATTTCAAACATCAGTCATTTATGGCAGCAATATTGTGGACATGTTCTTTTTAGAGATAACATCTGTATGTACGTGATCGAACAATTCATAAAGTTCCAAACTCTTAAAATTCTACAGAAATGAAGAGTTGAATTCTATTTTCAGAACTTCTGTATTTTATAAAATTCCATCTCAACATTGCCTTAAAAGCGCACAAATAGGCGACAATCATATGGCGTAACATATTTTAGGCGTATTTAACCCTGTCCAGCCGGATGTTGGCATTTGACAACATTGTCTCCATATTTTGTAGGGATTGACTCATTGTAGAACTATATATCTATCTTTAAAACTGAATAATTATCTTTATACATCGTGGTGCATATGCATGTATTCGAGAACAAAACATTTTTTTTTCTTCAGGCGAGTAATTAGATTCACACGTAGAGTCGTCCTGGAAGTGTTCAAATCATAAAAACTTATTTCTTCCCTGTCCGAAGATTTAATGCTAAGAGTGACTAGTGACTAATGTTGCTTAGTAAAACTGCTAACCTAACATATTCAACATTTCTCAACAGTAAAAAATGCACTTGTTGCCATTCGGCAATATCCGGCCACAAAGGGACAAAAATTTTTGTAAAATTCATTTCCTATCTACAGCTACCAGACGTGATTTCTTATAAGGTAATGTGACGTTACATGTATTCGACACGTATTCATAAGTCATATATTGTATGCGTGATGGACATAGCTCATTTTCATTATTTTGGGTGTTTTAGTTTTTTATTTTCTCTTTTGGATATTTCGTTTACAAGTATAGTCATATTTTTCTTTGTTAGTTAGTATCTGAGTATTTCATCTCGCACGCTCATAATACAGGTATCTTATTTTTGATAAAGAACAACACTCTTGTATTATTAAAGTTGTTAATGATGACTTCTAGACAAGCATCTAATAAACATCCGATTGTTTCAAACGGATATAGTGATATAGTGAATTTTTTGCGACTCTGATTCGGTAGACGGCTAGTAAGAGTTAAACAATTAATTAGTCACCTCTTAAAATGATAAATAACTTAGAAGGAACAAATAATTTTTTCTTAAGTTTCGCTCGATACGAGTTATAGTTACGTTTGAAGTGCTCTGTTAAATATTCAGAAGTTTCACATTTTAGCCACAAAATAGCTGCTCTAACAAGATTTATTTTTTCTAACAAGCCGAATTATTATGTTTTTTGTATTTTATATTTCTCACTAATTATCAAATATCTGATAACAGATGAAGTGATGGAACTGATATACGTAGATACAGCTGATGCTTTGATATGGAAACTAAACTTTCCGCATTTTTCAAGTGATTTTTGAACTTTTAGTAAAATAAATATGCATTGAGTTGTACATGATTTGATGTATTTGGTAAGAGGATCAATTTTTCTACTACTCTATCAAAACCACACCTGATGTTCGCGCTAGTGTACCTCTGTTTTAACCTCAAATTTTTGTTTTTATATCTTAGAACGTACATAAACAATATAATGAAATATGCTTCATATAAATATTGACGGCTGTTCCTCACTATACCTATCTGCTTTATTTAAAGAATAAACAAATATAAAAATAATATATTCAACATTTTATTCATGATCAACGCATATTTTTTCCGAAAATTAAAAATATTTAGATATTCAAAATTTATTTAAAAACCAAAGATGAGATTTGACTAGGATTGTTCGATCACATCCTCTAAATGCATGGTCAATTTTCAAATGTTTTAATCCTAAAAAAATCATTCATTCAAACTTGTATAATTATTATTTGTCAAAAATTCAAGATTAATCTGCTACAATATACACTGTAAAAAAAAAATTATAGCAAAAGTGTAAATTACTTTTAGCTATGACTTTATTTATATTTTTTAGCATCAGCATTTCTCATTGGTTTTTATCGACCAATGGGATGAAAAATAATATTACATCTTTATATCGTTATATAGAACATTTTTTCTGTTGCATCTTTCACAATAGGAAATAACCAACACGTCTTATTTTTACCGTGGTACAATAAAGAGTAGGACTGTGTGGCACATTTTTACAGTCAATCACTGAATTTTTTCTGTTAGATTTTGCAGAAAAGGGTGAACATTCTTTAATAATAGTGTTGTGATCTGGATACCCATAATCAGTATTTTTAATGAGATTAACTTTTGTAGCTTGTTTCTAAATCAGTTTAAATAGTGTACACGATGAATCCTATGACAAGTGATACAGGTGTCAATAATCGACAACAACAAGTATGTTTATCTATTTCTAAGAGAATATAACGAATAACGTATGGATGTGTTTAGATTCCCATGCAAATGCCAATGTACGTAGTGGTACCAATGTACGTTAATTCGATTCCACCTTATACTTCGTATATACAATCGACGCAACCTTATCCTCCATTTTCTTATCAAGCTAATATTCACAACGCATCACTACTACCACCACAACATCAAACATCTCGCAATCCACTTATGTCAACCCCTACTCGTTGGCCTTCTTATACTTGGCCCGCCAATGAAACACAAAGAAACTCATATCTGAATTTAACTGAATACGAAACAAAAACAGACAACAACAATTCTCTCGAAGAAACAGCGTTTATTAGTAATCGTACAAGTCCCGTAGTATTATCGATAAAGTCATTACAATCAACAACAGAATCACCGGGTAATTTGTCAGTTCTTGTTAAAACTTCGTAATTTGTTTCATACAGAATGCTCTTAATATTTAATGTTATCAGCATATTAAACAGTCCCATTCTTCGTTCATTGATGATTGATTTTAATAATGAATGCATGTCATCAAAAAACCTACAATGTTTTCTTTTTGTAAGTTAACATTGCACAACTGGAAAACTTGTGAAAATTTAGCTATATACAATGTAAAAAGAAAAAGTATGCATTTGTCAGAGTTGTAAAAATTTCAAACTACAGTTGAGAAGTTCTAGTTGAAAAAATCTGTACACAACTCAACTGCAGATTAAAAAACGCAGCTCTAACTCAACTTTCGATTTGATGTTTTCCACCTTTGATTCATTCATCCTATTCTATGATGGATAAAAGTCTTTTGATTTTTTCTTTGCGTATGCAGATATTCATATCTTTCTTTTGTAGGAAATAACATTTCTTCTCTTTATGAAATCTGAATCAGTTTTACAGTTCAATTACTAATGCCTAAAATATTTTCATGATCTCTTATTCTACAAACTCTTTCTCGATACAAATCGTAATCAATTAAATCATCAGGACGTAAATGGAGAGCATCAATTTTTAAAGTTAGATTTAAGTGTAATTTCTTCTGAAATCTTTAGAAAGCATGATAAAGTTATGTATACCAACAGATATCCCACTACCCGTGAACAGTAGTTTTGAACAGTATTACTGTAGTTTGAATCTGGAAGTGTCGTTCAGATGAACCAAAATATTGGCGTTTTCTTATCTATTGCGTCTTGTACGTCTTAGTAGTGACACCCCATGAAGCAAATAATTTTAGAAACATACTTAATGATTTAATTAATTATGATCATTCAATCATTATATTTGTACTATATATAATCTTTGGAAAAATTGAATAGAAATTTCCTATCATCTTATCCAGTCACTATAGTCCAAAAAATGAACATTGGAAAATCATGGTAGTCCGAAAAATTTCTCTGAAAACTAATTTAACTTTTTTAACTGAATTCAAAAGCTAAATATTTTTAATTAGATCTTAAAAACTGCTCTGATCTATAATCAAACCATCAAATTTCTATATGTTCTTTAAACAAATTCTGTATAAAATTTCCTTTGTTAATCAAATCGATTTTATTGTGATTGCATAATTCTTTGTTTTTAGATCCTGAAGGTGATCCTTTAACTAAACATGTAAGTCTTCCAAAAACCGTTTCCGACAATTTTTCAGCATTTATTAAGCCGAAAGTGAACCCAATTCGTTCTTCAACTTCATCATTAGTAGATGCTCACACATCTTTAACAAAATTGACACATACGAAAATTAGCAACGATAAAATGGCTGTGAATCAACCAATATTCAATAATGAGTTGGAGGTAAATAATACATTATCAATGAAAAGTAATCAGAAATTGGCTGAGCTCAGTTCGCATGCGCCATCCGCTCAGACGTCTACTAAACATCATAAATCATCAGCGTCGCATGAACACATTGATAAGAATGAGCAAAGACAAATATTAGTAAATAATTTTGATAGTAATGAAAATTCAGACGATTACCATGCCGTTCTCGATGAAACAATAGAAAATGCATTAGTTACAATTAATCACACAAAAGCACAAATAAGTCCGCACAAGAGCGAGTATGTCCATATCTATCAAACTATAAGAGGCTGACAAATAGTAATTGCTTAGAAGCTCGATAAAAGTCATATACATACGATCTATAGCATACATATTTCCTTTTATCGGATCGGGTTAAGTCTTCATATCTCTGTAACTACATGTCATATGAACTGTTTGTCCAATTTATTTTCTAAATTATAGAAAACTAACTGTAAAAATCGTCGGTGATTTTACATGATTTATAAGATAATAAATGATGATTTTATAAGAAAGTTAAAGATGTTTATTTTCTACATTTAGAGAACTGAATTGATTTTCAGTGAATTTGAAAAATGCATATTGGATTTTGAATTTATATAAAAACTTCTTCAATTTTCTACAAAAGTGGACAATCGATTCGATTCAGTAAAAAACTTTATTAATTTGCTTTTTTTAAAATTCACCAGCATATAAAAATCAACCATGAATTCATATAGGCACTCTTTTAAAAATCATTTTTTATTTTTTTATAACTCATTTTCCTCTTAGCAGTATAGTGAACAACAGACTAGATTGGATTAGATTAGATTTTCATGTCCATGTATTTGATTGACTCAAACTATTGTTCATTACAGTGATGTACAGTTATACAGACATGAAGATTTAATCTAACCCGTTAAGTAAACTATGATTTTTTAGGAGGTAATACATGTCTTGATATTCTTAAGGAGTCACTATTTGTCGTCCTATACAAATTATTTTGTTGAATTTGTTTTCTATTTTGTTATTAGTCAAACACTAGATTCATCAACACAGTGCTCAATTCTTCAAAGTTTAACAGATAATGGTACACATCGATCGAGTCAAACCGATCATGATGAACACGATTTACTACTGGACTATAGTTCACGCGCGGTAAGTTTGAACATGTCGCTGAATGACGAAATTGAATATAATAAATGAGTATTAAATACTAGTATTGTATTTTAAACAATAGAAACGAAGAAATTAAACTTGACTTAACCTCTCACAAAATCTACTAGCTATACAAGATTATCTAAAAGAGACAGTAGACATCACGTTATCTCGAAATTAACAATGAAATGTATTCTGATAATTCTATGTGTTTGTTTTTAGTGCCGTGACATTAGCATTATGTTGGAAAATTTTAAATCATTGTTGATTTCTCCTGACACACTATCATCAACAACGATAACAACATTAATAAGTCAACAAAAAATGGCAGCTACATGTGATTCTTTAAATAATTTGTTGTATACGATAAATTATATTATAAAATCACGTGTCGACCCAACAAAAACAGAAGAGAAATGTATCGTTGATTCACCGTTTACAAATGCATTAAAAGAATATCGTACGTGTTCATCTATGATACAATCACAACAAAAGTCCACGATACTTGGAAATAGTGATACTATTCAAAATAGTACGTCTTCTATAGCATCATTCACTACAGTGCCATCATCAAGGGTAGAAGCAGTAATAACGCCGGAACATCAATCAGTTAAATCAATGGAAAAAAACCTTAAACCAAAAGTTGTTTCATATGAACCAAAAAAATCATTCGATATAAAAACAGAAGCATTATCACCACATTATCAACAAGTATTACAACAGCAGACTGTAACATCACAATATTCATCAATAGGATCTTGGTCAGGACGGGGGAAAAGATTAGAAAATTGTCCGACGCCGTTATCTTCATTACAAGAAACAAACTATGTGCCAAATTTAAGCAATCATCAAAACAGTTTCAATCATTATCAGGCGGTATGTCAGCAGTAGTTTTAATTCTTTGAATAACAATAAAAATTCACTAACGCTTACAAAATGAATTTAAAAATATAAATAGAAAGAACTTCATTTAGCAAAGTAGTAAGAATCATTCTGAGATATTCAAAGTAGATCTATATCATGAAAGAATAAACAGTTCTAATGTAAAACAATCTTATGGTTTCTCATTCTAGGCAAATGAATGTATAGTATGCGAAGTCGTATCAAATGAAAAGATGGTCTATCTTGATTGTGGCCATATTGTTCATAAACCGGTAAGTTTTATTTATGATACCATTCAACTAAAAGCTATACCGATATGTCTATTTCAGTGTTTTGATTTTGTTTCAAAAACAAACTACAAGTGCTCAAGATGTAAAAAGGAACTTATTGAGGATTGATGGTGATAGATTATTTTAGCTATTCTCAATTTCAAATGATTCCATTTACCGTTCCCGTGATTATTACAAACAAAACAAAAATGTATCTTGAAATTTTTTTATTAATTTTACTTTTTTTATTTTCTATAACTTTTGTAATCGTTCACTCTCTATTGGAGCTGATCATGTACATATTGAATTATTACTATTCTCTCTTGAGAGCCTGTGCATGTTTATAAAATACCAAGCAACAAAGCTGTTTAATTAATATAAGGTCGAACATTATGAAAAACTTAAGCTTTTTTTTAAACGAAAAGTTGATTGTGCAGCTAAATTTCAAAAAAAATATTAGCACTGTTGTGTATCCAATATAATTATGCAAAATAAGACATTTTTTAACTAGCTTTTTTTTCATACTTGTTTACTACTGGTAGTAGACATTCAACATTTCTTGCTATTGATCCAAGATGCATTGCACTGGATAGAATAAGCTCGAAAAAATTCCGACCGCTATTAATAGATCAAGCGATTATTACTCTAGGTATGTGATACGTTACAAAGAAGAACGTGAGCTAATTAATCACATTTTTTTATCAGTCGTATGAATGAACATGTCAACACCGCTCGGACTAGAAAATGTTTAACAGCAGTCGGGTTGAAAATTTTCTTGGGTTACATAACAGAAGAAACAATCTAATCTATTTAGTAGTACTTTATAAAGCACTTGCTTCTAGCAAGCGGTGAAGTTTTCTAAGAAATATACATGCAATTCTTCAAAAATGAGTATATGTCTAAGTTATGCGTGTACTCAGCCGAGAAACACTGCTACCAGAGATGCTCATTGTATTACTACTTTATAGTTGTATCCAAGTATTTTTCTCGTATCAAAAAGGCAATCAAGAATTAGTCTAGATTTAACTAACAAACATATTGCAAAATAGATCAATGATATCATTATGTTTAGCATAAACATGTTCATGGCCAATATTGTAATATTTCTGTCTGTTTTTCATATATGTACTTGAATGAATATGTTCACCTAATGTCTAGAAGGTTGAAAAAATAAGGACAAGAAGTCATGAATGAAATCCAACTATTAGTGTTAGAAATAACTTGTCGGAAGTTCAACTTTTGAGAAAGCTTTTTTTTCGTTTATTTATACCTGGTTGCATAGAGCGCATCGAGTTCAGTAAGAAAAAGTTGTTTTTAATTTTTAAAAAAAATTCTAAGGAAATGTTCAGTATTAAAAACTGAGTATGAGAATGATGCTTGATTAAGGTTGGAATCAAAGGTCTATCCAGTATGGATTACCCCTGTAAAAAGTTCAGACGCAATTTTCTGTTTTCCTTTTGCTCCGTTCATGCGTCTCTACTGTCAGTATTGTACATTGCTACTGATTGTTAAATTGATGATTTATGCAATATGTGACTGACTCAACTTGCAGTTTCATTGGTTTGTCATGATTGACTAATAGAACAAAGATAGAAGGACAAAAAGGTAGAATCCATAAAGGATCAGCAAAGAGTGGAGCAGGGTGGGAGTGGAGTCTTGGCAAAAAAGTTGGGTTTAATTGTGTGGTGAAAGCATCCGAAGGACATTTGATTTGACTACTCGATAGTAACTGCACTACTGCGCTGCCTTTGTTACCTTTGCTATTCAAGATGGCAAACTATTTGCATTTTGTTTATTCTCTCTTAGTTGACCGTCGATCATGATATAGAGTCTAAGAAATGTGTGAGAAAAAATATCTGTCTTACATTTATATCGGACACATCTGCTACGAGCTTTGTTGAGAGGCTCTTCCAATCGTATTGCTGATGTCTTGCTTAAACAACATGTTATTTCATCCTGTTAGCATCATATCGAGCGAAGAAAAAAGGAAGAATCTGTGTCAATGCATATTTCTTGCTGATATCTTCCAGACGTTTTTCAGCCCTTCGTCGCTTTTCATTTGTGACAAGTTGCATTTGTTTTGCAATTAAATTGTGTACTGTTCTTGCTAACTTGTTCAAAAATATTCAAGTTTGTTCAAGAAACAACATCATGAGTTTCTTCGATTTATATGAGCTCTTGTTTTCTACCTAATTGAAATTGAGTATAGGCCCTCACCAAAAGACTAGAAGTTTTCTAGCTTTTAAAATTTGGAATGTACTCTTGAGTTTCGACGTATCAATGGTTATATCTTTGATTCTTATTTGACCTTTTTTTAGAAATCTAAAGACATGGCTGATGCGTTACAAGATGATGATGACTCTCAATTTCATACCGGAGACGCTGGTGCTTCAACAACGTAAGCCGAATGCTATTGCTTTTCAAAAATAGTGATAAATTACTCTTGTTTTCCCTAAAATCAGATATCCACAGCAATGTTCAGCGTTGAGAAAAAATGGTTATGTCATGTTAAAAAGTCGACCATGCAAAATTGTCGAAATGTCAACATCAAAAACTGGAAAGCACGGTCATGCAAAGGTATTTGTTTGGTATTATTTATTCATTTACACACACCAAAGGATAAAAAAACGACAACAGCATTTAGCTCCGTTTTTTGATTATTTTTCTGCTGTATAAACGAAAATCTGCATTAGTAATTTAATTAATAGAATTCTATTGAAAATATCTTTCATACAATTTTCTTGTAATGGGAAATCTCATGAAAGCTCAATTATTCTGCTTACTATGACGAGTCTTGGAAAAACTACACTAATGCTTGTCTCGATCTCAATGAAGTCGTTCTAGTGTGATTTATTTAATAATATACTTTAATGTTAAATAACGCATGTAGAATATCTATGATCAATGTCTATTGATCAATGTCTATCTTATGAGTACATTATCTTTTGTTAAACTTTCTTTTTTGAAGCATCTTTATTGAAACAGCAAACCAGCCAGGCTGCTGTTGCAAGTACAGATGTAAAACTGACTAAGTCGTAAACCCCTTTTTGTTCATCTGAGTCCATTTTACTGTCTTTTATGAATAAAAATAGTTTTGTCACTAAAGTAAATAGGACCCTAGAATCCTGTAAGACAAGATATAATCTTAGCCTGTCCTGTCCTATAAGATTAACTTTCAAGACTTCACAGAACTCCAACTGAAAATCAGCCTTTTCTAATGACAAGTTACAAAATAGCAACCTGTTTACTTACCTCCTGCTTGTAAAGAACTGTAACTCTCCTCTCATAAATCTTCCTTGATTATTTTCTCGCCTAACCAGTCTCTTCTCTTTATCTCTCTCTGTCATGATCCTTTACGACAGCTGGAATTACAGTAAATTTTCACATTTGTTCTAAACCACAAAGTAGATGCACTCTGAATTTTCATCAGTTAGTCTTGAAAAACAATCACTAAAGTGCGGTCCATCATTTGCGCAAGCCGATTTGCGCTGAACTCTTCGCAGATTCGGGAGTTGAAAAAAACAAAATAAGCGTTATAGCCCTCATTTTTTGAAAATAGAACGAATAGACATCTAACAGATCCTAATCTATTAAAAAGGAAAGGCAAAGAATTATTTTAAGAGTAGGATCGAAACAAGCAGAAATCAGATTTTCACTGTGGGACGGGATTTTGCTTCCACTTGGAGCACCAAAAAATTATTAAAAACTCTGCTTTCTACCCAAATAGTACCTTAGTTTTTGTATATTATACATCAGCCATGTACTATCTGTTCATTCAGTAGTTTTTCAATTGCTTACGAATAAACTTGTTGAAAACTGCATTCTTTTGACGCTGTTTAAAATAAAGCAGTAATACTTTTTCTTATTGAAAACAATAACATAGTACTGAAAAACGAAAAGAATATTGATCGCGTGACCCGTCAGGGTTCTTGAATTTTCACGAAGAGAAATCAACTATGATAAACTAAAGTTAGCTAAAAAGTGTTATCTTAAAAATACTCTTTTTTCTTTCAGGTCCATATGATAGGCATCGATATATTTACAGGCAAAAAGTATGAAGATATTTGCCCATCAACGCACAATATGGAAGTTCCTAATATCAAACGAACAGAATATTCGGTATGGACGAAAGAAAGGTATAGTTTGTAAAAGATAATATAATGATTAATTTTTTCCAGCTAATTGACCTTGATTCCGATGGTTATGCTTCACTCATGGATGATAATTCAGAAACACGTAGTGACATTAAAATACCTGACGCTGATTTAGGTATGTATTGTTTGGTATCCTTGAGACGAATGCTAAGCGATTAATTTTTTCGTATTTGTGTTTTAGGACAGGAAATACGCGCAAAATTTGAAAATAATGAAAATGTTAAGGTTACAGTTTTAAAAGCTATGGGTGAAGAAGCAATAATGTCGTATAAAATTGAACAAGATTCTAAAAAATAGAAGAAATAGAATAGTTGGGTACATACAGACACGCTTACATATTTTTTACACAAACACATATTTACAATTCACAGTTTCCTATGCTCAAAATGATATAACATGTTTTTTTTGCGTTTGCATTACGGGATTTTTGCGTTATATGAGATAAAACAAGAAGAGAAGAAGGAAAAAGTTTCTGTACTGCTTAGCTTTTTTTGTTGTTATATTGTTCATTAATTAAGTTTTTACTAAAGAAACGAAAATATATAATTACTGTTTTTTACCACGTGTGTTATTTGTTAATTTGCTGTTAAAAGTGGTTATATTGAAAAAGTGCCATATTAAATTTTTCAATTAGAACTTTTTAAGGGATGTTAAAAGAATTGAAAACAATCTTATTACAATTATAAAGTTAGCTGTCTCATTGTATGAGATAAGATCTGAGTGAGAAGTTACAGATTGAATGAAAAATTCATATTATACTCGTATAGAAAAAGAAAAAATAGAGAATAAATTTAGCTCCGTACTTTTAAAAAAATTTGTTCATTGCTAAAATTCTACTACAGTATCAGGGTTTTTGATTGTTTTTAATCAAGGTGGCGAGATTTTTATGACAGACAGTCTTTATCAAAAAGTTGGCGAACAGATTTTTCTAAACAAGTGAAACATTTATAAAATGAAAAGAACTCCGCACTGCGGAGTAATAAAGGATAATAAAAGGTTAGGCAAATTTTAGGTAGAACAAAGATTCTAAAAGTCTGGTGGACAGTACAGAGTTTTAGGGTGGGAATGTCCTCTCCTCTAATCGAAAATCCTGTACAGTATGCTGCTTCTCATAACTAAAAACTTAGTAAAGAAGAATTTGAACTAGTTATATTCATTTCACGTAGTTGATTCTAAACTACTGAGAATGGCCTTCTGGCGTATGTGAACTAAATTTAAGATTCTCAAACAGGTTTGTTCTTGTAATAATAAAAAGAGAATAGCTACTGTTATGCCACGCACCAGAGTCGTGCCATAAGGGAGAAGATCATAGTTAAGGTTATTGCGTAAGAATATTCAAGGTTATTGCATCAGCCTTGGTCAATAAGACAGAACAGTTCTAACGATGGTGCAAGAACCTAGAATATGACGTGTTGCATAATCAGGGCGTTATAGGTGCGTTTTTTGTGTAATAGTGTGTGATATCTTTGTATAAAGTTTTCTCAAATAAACGTTAGATGAGAAAGATCTCACTTCATTCGGGAACCTAATAGCTACTTTCAGAGTTAGATAGCCAGTAGCATGAGTTTTCAAATTTTTTATTATTCGTGGCAACTAGAGATATAGATTCTTCCCCAGTGTTCCGACGACCATTAACCCTTGGCATAGTATTATTTTCCTTATTCAAGATACCCAAAGTGAAAATCGTTTCGGATCAGAAGGCTCGAATTTTTGTTTTAACTTGAATAAAAATACATCATCAGACACAGTTATTCACGGTGATTACAAATCTTCGTGGTGAAAATTTAAATTCCTGACCTAGATATTTTTTCCAAAAATTCTGTAAAACATACCGTCGGATAGAGAATCAAATCCTTCACCAAGTGCTCATTTGTTTTGACGTGTAGATGCCAAATTTTATTTTTATTTTCTAAAAAACGTTTTGGTCCTTATTTTGTGAGCAATTTTATAACCATTTAATCTAAGCTACATGGGATGACAGGCACTCATCTATGTCATCTATATCTATCTATGTGCAAATCACAGTTTGCTAAGTAGTTCTGTGACAGAAAAAAATATATACCAAACCACGTCAAACTGTCGCTGTGATAGAGAGTTCGTGATGTGAACATCACGTTATTCTATGACAGAGGATTAATGGAAAACTTCAAATTGTAGAAATTGCTACAAATTCTTTTGCAAAAAAACATTTTTTAACAGTCAAGATTTTCCACATTTCCTTGTTCAGGAAAATTTTCGAATTGAGCAGCAAATACTGCATATCTGGCTGTTGATGAGGAGGAAAATCTTGCAACAACAGATTGCATTTATAGTCTAGGGTCATGGTATCTGTCAACGATAGTTATTAAATTACTGACTACTACTCCTCAAACAATATTCCAGATACTTTTGTCATTTCTTCCATTTGTCGCTTTTTGCTTAAAATTCTTACTCAGTTGCGTTTTTTTCTATTTTTCTCCTTTTTATAGCTGTGTGTGCTTATACTGTTTTAGAAAACATTATGAACTGTTAGTTGACTGCACGACTGTATCTGGTGGGTCCTACCGTTATAATGTATCGCTACTATACCTTTGTTCGCTCAAATTTCAGTTGAAACTACAACGTCTTAGAAGCATAGAATATGTTGTCAGTTACATATTAGCTTTCATAAACTAAATAATCATGCATTTTATGTTTTCTAGATTGATTTACCACCAAATGTCTTGGACGAATCGATTATTTGCATACCGATAATCCTGTAGTATTTCTCGATACTACTGTTGGTAATACAGAAATTGGACGTATTCTTCTTGAACTTTATGCACATGTAGTATCAAAGTCAGCTGAAAATTCTCGTCAGTTTTACACGGGTAAATATAAAAAAACGGTGTGCCATGTGGTTATCGGGGTGCTCTGTTTCATCGTGTAATAAAAGATTTTATGATACAAGGTGGAGATTTTGTTAATGTGAATAAGTAATTTTTTAGTATTTATTTCCCTAAAATCATTGTTTGTACAATGTATTTTTTCTTTTTCTCAAGTTTGATGGAACAGATCTAATATCGATATACGGTGGCAAGTTTCCTGACGAAAATTTTACTATGAAATTTAATCAGTCTGGTTTATTGCCGATGGTGAGTAAATGAAATAACTCTAGTTGTCTCTTAATTAATTTTATTCTGCCATTTAGGCAAACTGTGGGAGAGATTCAAATGGATGTCAATTTTTTATTACTTGGTATGAGATACTTATGATACACCGATCAATGCGTATATTTGTTTTTGCTTTTTTAGCACAAACTGTGAATTTTCGGATGGAACACATGTCGTATTTGGTAAATATCCAGACAATTATGGATTAACATGATATTTATTTTGTGTTTTCTTTTTAGGTCGTGTTATCGAAGGAATGTCAGTTGTACGAAAAATAGGTAATGTACCCGTAGGGGTAACTAATATACCTGAAATTCCTGTTGTCGTATCCCGTTGTGGTGATTTTGTTTAACTTTTTAACAATTTATCAATAGTATAAATTTGCATTCGTTTTAAGAGTTTTGAGTCCTGGTGAATAATGAGTGTACGAATATATAACTTTTACCAAAATGCTTTTTATAGCATTTGGTTTTTCTATTAAAAAAATTTAAAAGCTATACAACTAGTTCAAAACGGTATTTGTGTTATTTAACATTCAAGAATGTAGTGGAGCGCTCGAAATATGAACAGTTACAATTGTATTGCGTCAAAGCAAGAGCTGATTTAGCACGAGTCTACTCTTTGACATACGATGAGACTGAGACAAAAGCCATTCGTAACTTATTGAATCGATATTCGATCAAAGATGGTAAAAAACATTCAAACATATGTCTGGAATTCATAGCATATTACAAATGCAAGCTAATGAACTGTCTATGAATGGAAATATGTATGACAAGTCTCAATTTAAAAATAGCCGGATCCATAGGCTAAATAGTTGCCCTGAATGTCAGCACTTGTAAATGTTGTGTTCATTTTCAATGCTTCTTCCACTACTTCGGCCCCTTCTTTCGTATACTGTTATCTCCAATATCAAGACTTGCTAATGTTATGTTTATTTTCAATGCTTCTTAAATTGCTATGGTCCCTTCTTTCGATATGCTTGCTGTTTTGTTTAATATAAAGATTTGTTATTGTTGAATTTACTTTCAATGCTTCTGCAATTGCTTTGGCCCCTTCTTACGATATACTGTTATATCCAATATATAAATTATTAGAGTGTGCTTGCTGTCGATGTTTATATACCAACAAAACTGTATTTTTTGCGATGAGAGACGAGAGAAAAAGAGGCAAAAGAAATGTTTTTATGTTACTAATAATTGTACATAGGTATTCAGTACATTAGTAATTCTAGCCGATTTTTCATAGGAATATTATGTGAGTATCAATGTTTTTGATTACTAAAAAAAGATACTTTTGATCACCAAATTCTTTAGATACAAATAATCACAGAAAAGGATACTTTTGATCACCAAATTTTTCAGCATGCATTTCACATTTTTATTTCTCAACAAAGTACAATGTACAACACAAACATATTCATTGAGGTTTTAACCAAATGAACAATATTTTTACAGTTATTTATTTCCATTTAAAAAATTTAAAGCTGTGCTAACTTTCTTGGGACGCCCTTGAATAAGCACACAAATTCATTTACAATCTGCAAAAAATACAAATGCGAAATAAAGATCATCACCATGTACGGTTAAATAAGCACATGATAATGTTGGTGTGGTGTATCGGCCATCGCAAAAACTAGTAATGAAGCTGAGGTTGACGGTGGTGAGGCATTGAAAATAAATTCAACAATAACAAATCTTTATATTAAACAAAACAGCATATCGAAAGAAGGGGCCAGCAATTTAAGAAGCATTGAAAATAAACATAACATTAGCAAGTCTTGATGTTGGAAATAACAGTATACGAAAGAAGGGGCCGAAGTAGTGGAAGAAGCATTGAAAATGAAGACAACATTTACAAAGATTTGGTTCTAGTTGTTACAAAAAAAAATTCATCCATAAAAAATGAATTCTGGATGTTTGCGAGGAAGGAACTTCAGGTCATTTTTGGCCTTTGTGTCCCCTATTTCTTATAGAAGGTAGCATCCGAAAATTCTGAGTCTATGACAACGTTTGCTCTGCTAGTCGAGATCTATCTACCCTGAAAGTTTCAGAATTTTTGGTCGGGCCGTTCTTGAGCAACCCAGGAAAACATTTTCACGTAAGGAGGAGGTGCTCTTAAGTTGTATCAAAATGAGTTAAATCCAATATTCTACAATTCACTATTTTTACAATTTTGATTGGTCGTTGTTTTAATGGTGTGATACGTTGGAATATCACATGTTGTGATAGGGTGGAAAATCACATTTCCAAACGCAACAAAACGTTTATTTATTCAATTACATCTATTAGACAATGTTACGTAAAACTGTGAATCATTTGAGTGGCGAATATCTTTGTTGGTTATAGCTTTTAAAATTTAGAAATGAGGTTTTCACATTAGACTCGTACGTATTAATCTAACCTAGAACATCTCGACCATTATGTGGTATAGTAAAATTTTCGTCTGCAGATGTTTTTCCATATATCGGTTCTCTGCCATTTTCTTGGCTTGTCCATATATCACTACATATAAAAGAAAGAAAAAATTTACCTAATTCACATGTACAATGTCTAATTTCTTCTCTAATACCTTGAATCTATGTGTTTTGTGGTATTCTATGAATTATTATATTTTTATAATGCAATTTATGTCTAATTTTTAAACTTGTATATCATTTTCATTTGTACATAATGAACAAAAGTTTTCACATATTTTCGATGTAGCAACGTTAAATAATTCAAAAACAAGCCATCCAATTGAACGACTATTATCATCTTGATCTTTTACAACAGAGTCCCTGAATACTACAGTAGTAGTTAATCCTTAATAAATATCATTCTGATTATTTTTGCTTTTAAAAATTGATTTCATTCAAATTCTAACAATGAATAAAAATCAATGAGCTGAGTAAACCAAACACCGATACTCGCAAAAGGGGAATGTGTCATTTTGATTGGGAATAAAAGATTTTGATATAAGCTTCCTTAGGAATATAAGCAAAAAGAAGTCTATTATAGTATTCTAAACTAAAACTATCGAAAAACACAAAATCAATTTCTGTGTAAATACAGATTAAAACACACGAACTTGGCTTTTCCCTAATGGCACCCCTCTCCTCTTTTAGGAGTTTCCGTAGAAATACTATGAAATAAAAACTAAAAGTCACTAAGGCTTCATATTTTTAGAACTGACTGAAAACGCAATGAAGCATTTTTCGTTTTTGTTTCAAGTTTTTAACTATTGCCGTTCGCCAGTTTTCTAGAAAACTCGGTTTTTCATTGTGCCACATTACGACCGCCCTTAAATTTCATCCGATCGAGTTCAAAATTTTACCAGAGGCGCTCAAGGTCATTCCGCAGAGGTAGTTTTTGAGAAATTTTTTTGAGACCATTCCTGGTCGAGTTGCAGGAAAAATACTGAAAAACGTCTCAGAAACCAAGTTTTTCAATTTTAGAAACCCTATAAGTCGGTAAAGAAAAGTCTAAAATAAAATTCGCAAAAACTACCTCTGCAATAGTGTCCTGAGCACGCCTGGTAAAAATAGTTGAACTCGATTGGATAAAATTTAAGGGGGATCGTGATGTGGCACAATGAAGTCTAGGAGCAAAAAAGTAGTTTTCGAGAAAAAACGCATTTCGTACATAAGTCACTTTTTTCAGGGCATTTGCCACGATGCTTATATCTCCACGAAAGCTCATCGGAAAATTTTGGAAATCGTCTCTTTATGAAGAAAACATTTTCTTCTATCAGACTATATGTAAGAAAAATCTTGAATGTACAGAAAATGAGAGAAAAGTTTATGAAACTAAAAAACTGAGTTTTTTAGACTTTGAAGGAAAGACCTCAAAAATGCATAACTTTTTGAAGAAAGGTTGTGGAGTGCTGAAAGTGGTCTCATTTTGTCACCCACACTTTCTCTGCATTAGGCTATACTGAGCTCAAAATCCGAAATTTTTTCAAAACCGAGCGGGGCACCTTTAACAACATCCACAACCCATCAAATGTGTTTTAGTTACATTCGAATGCAAGCGATTAATGGCTTCTGAGAGTAGTATGAGTCTTAACTTTAGAAGTTTTTTTTGTTCAGAGACACTTATCAAATTAAAATTGCATAAAAATCACGTGCACGTTTAGAAGTTGAGAATTTCTACTGTATCAAAAAAATAATTGATTAACATCTACTTTTGGAAGGATAATACTCACATGGAACTCACTAAATTTATAATCGTCGAACAAAAATACTTTAGAAAAAATTAAATTTAACTGAAAAAGCAAAGTTGAGAAAAGCTATCAAAGAAAGAAAAAACATCGGCATTTTTTTACTCATAACAGTAGCATAAAATATACGTTGTTGTTCATTATAATTCAATGTTTCTTTTGTTAGTGAGTTCTACATCCCACTCGATTCTTATTTGTATACGACGCTCCATACGTCGTTATCCACGGATTGTAGTACGAACGTGATACGTTTGTCATAGCTTGTTGTCCTGGACGTGCTAATTGATTTATATCGTATTTTGTAATACACTTAGGCATAGAACTTGCCGATGAATAATTATTTGTATTTCGGTAATTGCTCATAGTACACGGTTGTGGACAAGGCTGCGAACAATGAGAAGAAAGTTGCTGTTGTCTACCAGTGGAAGGAGTAGACATTGCTGGTCTACAATTTAGAGATGATCGAGGTTGACGTCGACTATCGCGTTGCTGCTGTTGTGGATTAGTTCGAACAACACACGTATTAAATGAATGTTGATCAATATTCATATTTTTATTTCTATCGCTGTTCACACAAGCCAACGCTTGTGGTCCTAATTGACATCTGATATTATCAGGTAGATTACTAATTTTATCAACATAACAAACTTCAGCATTTCCTGATGGTCGTTCTTTAACGTACTGTTGCGGATCCATACTAAGCACACCTTCGTCGACACAGTTTGCTTGAATTCGTGGTTCAAGTGACTCGTATTGAATAATAACATTTTTTGGAGGTGATTGATAATTGCAAGCTTCAGCCTTTTCTACTATACATGGACGATCTTTAGGTTCTTCATATGGAAGCTAAAATATGAGAATATTTTAGAATCCTCAAAATTTTAAGTATTTTCTGTATGAAACAAACCCATTTTTCAAAAATAATTTGGCGGGGCTTTGCCGGAGGCGTTGGAAGACGCTCTACAATAACTTGACGTGGTGGGGGTGGCGGCTAAAAAGCAAGTGGATAATCGTAGAATGTTTAGTTATTTTATATTAATAAATGATTGTAAACTCACCGGTGGTACTTCACGTTCAATAATTGTTGGCTCTCCTTTCCCTTCAGGTTCGGGTGGTGGACACTCTTTTTTTTTTAATGAAAAGTAAAGTAAAAAATTTCTGTTTTCAAAAAGATTCGCATTTGAGTACCTCGAATGATCAATGGAGGTGGCGTACAAGGTCGAGGTGGGATCTGTAATTGTAAAAAGAGATGGTGACGTTTGTCCATAGACACAGAAAGGTTAATTATTACCTGTCGAATAATAATCGGTGGTAGAGGTGGTTGTTGTGGACCAGCTCTTTCTCTTCAAAATAAAACTAACATGAGTAAACAGTAGATAGCAGAGCTTCGTTTGGATTTTATTGAATTTTGATACATCTGCGAATTAAAAATGTTTTTCTTTGAATAATTTCGATATGTATCAGTCAGTAAAAGCTTAATTTTTTACTGAATGCGCCCAATCTCACCAATTTACTTTTACACATATGTACATTATTGTACTAAAATGTGCCAAAGATTTATTATTTGCATAAATGCTTTTACTGCTAGAAGAAATTTTCGAAGAGAAAGGAGATATCTTTTATAGGAAAGAAAAGCCTAAAAGTCTATAAGTGCAATGACACTGAAAAATGAAAGAGTCCTTTTTTTGTACAGTGCGTGAACCCAACTCAAAATTCTGTCTTCATATGAAGTTTGACAGATCACAAAAAAAATACCGAATGATAATTGGCGGTGGTTGTGGTGGCTCAGGCGGTTTTAAATGGCGAACAATGACATGTTGATCATAAATTTCCTGGAACAAATAACTGAATACTTGGAAATTATTGTAAAAGATTTCTATCTACCTGAGAATCAGCTGGTTTTCTCATACAGAGTGGATGTGGATCACAACTAATATTATCATTACCTGACACAGGACCTAGAAATATATTGAATATTTTGACAAGTTAAACAAGAGATGATAATTCAATTCTCACAATCTGAAATAACTTCCACACAATCTACTGCACAAGGATTTGAAAAGGGTATTCCTGCTTTTTGTAATATTTCATCCGCTAAACGTCGATCCCGTAAAACTGTTTTCTGTCCACTTCCCATTAGATAACCATTGCTATTATTCGATAATGAATTGTGATATAAACCATTTGATGTTACTGGTCGTTGTTGAGTATTACAATTATTATTGTATCCACTATTTGGATAATTTCCACCAGGGCGATCTAACGCAAATGGTGATGACATATTTTGTTGATGTAGACCACTTTTACCAAAACCCGTAAACGATGTACTTGACCAGCCTTTATTTGCTGGTGTCTGTAAACCATAATTATTGTCACTTGAACGATTCATATCCTTGTAACCATTTGGAGGTAGACAAGACATTTTACAATTATTATACGATGATGAGCACGCATTTTTTGTATCGGGAAAAATATCCGATGATGGACATGGTTTGATCTTGTGAGCATTACCACAATTAACATTACATATATCGGTAAAATGTATGGGATTAACATCGGCAGCAAATGGTGGTGACGATGCTAGTAGATTGGATGCCTGATTCGATGTGCGACAAAACAATGGATTATTATTGGGCATTGTTGTACCATTATTTATTACCGGTAATTTATAGTAATCTCGGTTATTACAGCAATTAGACAGATAGCCTTGAGCAAAACGATTATTATTCGTATTACATGTACCATTAATATTCGTTTTGCCTAACGTTGACGAATATGATGAGCCACAATTTCGAGACATTCGAGACCGTTATTTATGCTAGAATAAAACATTCTAGTCATAAAGTGTAGGATTTTAAAAACCAATCACTATAAATAATAGATGGTGATTACCTGAAATCTAGTAGATGGAAATCAGCCCTTTTGAAAAACAAATTTTTTTAATTTTCACCGTTACATTAAAACACAATGACAAAGTATGATTTAAGCAAATACTTTAGTTGGCGCCATAAGCGTCACTATCACTTGAGTTTCGATAAATGTGCAATTGGTTAGCAACTCTATTCAATGTATCGAACTAAATAGATTATCATCATCTTGCAGAGAAAATATGTATTAGTTATGTCTATGAGATAGAAGCATCCAAGAGTTTTTGTAGATTCATGTTATAACTGATAGTTTAACCGAGCGATAGTATTCAGGTTATTAATATCATAGTTTGACAGTTGTATTGTCGTCGCGTGTTTTAAAGGTACTGAGTTTGAATCTTGGCACGGTCAAGTCGTACAATAACAGAGACTTGACAACATCCTACACCAATAAAGATAGTGCAGTATTGTTTTTTTCCTAAAAATATTCCCAGGAATTATTTGTAAATTTTGCGATTCTTAGCAGAGCCAGTTTTCGCCAAAATTTGAACGAACAAAGGTATAGGAGCGATACATTATTGGAACCGACAGTAAAGTTCAGGATGCTCTCCCTCTTTTTAGAAAAAAATTTTTTTTTTGTTCAACATGCTTGCTACGAAACAAACGCTTTTTCTGATACAGAAAGTGGTTCAGAAACTCTTTTAGAAACTCTTTGGGGTTTTGGAAATTACTTTGAAAACCGAAAGGATATTTTACTGGAGAATACAGTAAAGAGTTTCCAAGAGTTCGGAACCTAAAAGGTATTGGAGGGAAATGTTCAGAAACGGAGAAGGAATCGTTCGAAACTGAGGCATTGCTGTTCGTAACACTTTTCAGACTTCAGGTTTTTCCGAAAATCGAAAGGATATTCTAACATATATTTTTTCGTTTCCAGGTATATTCCAAACGGTATTCAAAACTTTTTTTCTAAGACACTTCAGTTTTGAAATGCTTTGGATAGAGAAAACCCTTTGTTTTTATTTTTTTCATCTATGGTGCAAAGTTCAGTTGCATCACAAAAAGCAGATCGTAGAAGTATAAAAATTTGTTTCGCACAATAAATTGAGCAGAAAATGAAACAATCTTTACCAGGACGGGAAATACCTCAATTTGGCTACCGTTTTATTACTAATGAGTGATAGAGTTCGCGTTAATAATGATAAATTAGAAGAGCAAACTCTCTATGAAACAGTTAAGGGTACCTTCCCCGCTTTTTGGACCTTCGGTAGAAATGCTGTGAAATAAAAACTAAAATTCGATAGGGCTCCGTTTTTCCAGAACTGATTGGAAACGCAATGGAGCACTATTCGTTTTTGTTTCAAGTTTTCAACTATTGCCGTTCACCAGTTTTTCAGAAAACTCGATTTTTCATTGTGCCACATTACGAACCTCCTTAAATTTCATCCCATCGAGCTCAAAATTTTACCAGAAAGGTACTCAAGGTCATTCCGCAGAGGTAGTTTTTGGGACCTTTCCTGATCGAGTTATAGGAAAAATACTGGAAAACGTCTCAAAAACCAGGTTTTTCAAGTTTAGAAACTCTATAACTCGGTAAAGAAAAGTCTAAAATAAATTCCCCAAAACTACCTCTGCAATAGTGTTCTCAGCACGCCTGGTAAAATGTTGAACTCGATTGGATAAAATTTAAGGGGGATCGTGATGTGGCACAATGAAGCTGGGTAGCAAAAAAGTAGTTTTCGAGAAAAAACGCATTTTATACATCGGTCATTTTTTTCAGGGCATTTGCCGCGATGCTTATATCTTCGCGAAAATTCATCGAAAAATTCTGTAAAGCGTCTCATTGTGAAGAAAACACTTTCTTCTATCAGACTATGTGTAAGAAAAATCTTGAATGTACAGAAAATGAGAGAAAAGTTTATGAAACTAAAAAACTGAGTATTTTTAGGTTTTGAAGGAAAAAATTCAGAAATCCATAACTTTTTGAAAGAAGGTCGTGGAGTACTGGGAGCTGTCTTACTCTGTAGGCCACGCTTTTCTCTACATTAGGCTATGCTCAGCTCAAAATCCGAATTTTTTACAAAAAAGAGGAGGGATATCCTTAACGTAGAAGCACTTTTCGCAAACCGTTCGAAAATCTTTCGTTGAGGGTTTTGAGCAAAAAAAGGGTTTAAGAAAGCATGGAAACCCCTTTCTCGGAAACGGATAAGCATTTCATAGAAAATAAGATTTTAAGTATTCATTTTGCATGGAATAATTTTTTTAGAGATGTTAGCAGAATGTTCATAACTTTTTAAAGAAACCTTGTGAAGAGTTGAAAGACACTTTGTTTTGTAAAAAACTCTTTGCTCTACAGCGTCAACTACTTGAAAAAACTTTCAAAACTTAAAAAGTATTTTTTTCAGTTTGATGCAACAAAAATATTAAAAAAGCTCGTATCCCGCAATGAAAAATCATAGAAGGTTGGGAGTGATCGTATTTTGTAGAGGGCACCTCATGGTATGTTTAACTCAAAAATGAAAAAGTTTTTTTTTAATACGAAAAGTACTCTTAAATGTTTCTCTCATTCTCAATTGTATGTATTTGAACGGATGATCGAGTATTATATTAAAAAACAATAAAAAAGTTCATTATTTTTATGCAAATATCACACGAATAAATAAAATAGTTGATTTTTTCAAAAATACAACTAGAATTCAAAAAATAAATGTTCACATTATGTAAGTATCGGTTTAACCGAAAAATGAAAGACTAAACGTTCGTTATTTTCATTATGAGGATGACTTTTTACATTCAATACAGAGAAATACTGGTAGTCCTAAACAGCCTACAATTATAATAATCGGTATACCAATACCAATTAAAGCAACAATGATACCTAATACAATTGGTGTCACTAATACAAGTCCGGTAAATATTGACCCGCGTATAAAATACCGTAAAAATCGATTATGTGGAAAGAGTTTATATCTACAACCAAATATTGAGTATTTAGCATCGTGACCAATGTATGCTGGTAATCTCATTCGTTTGCCACATTCATAACAAAATTTTGCATTACATTTTCCACATTGCATATGATTACAACCATCGATTTTTTCAATATAAATTGCACATTTTGGACATTTTTGTGCATTACGTTGATTATCCGTTAAACGTTTTCCTTTTGCCCATGTATCTATACGTGTACGATCTTTTTTAAATTCTTTACACGATTGTCCATCATGCATTGGTGCATAACATCTCCAACACCATGATTGTTGACAATGTTCACATTCAATTATTTTTGCTGGACGATCTATCATTGATGAAAATAAATTTGTTGTAACTTTAAATTGTTGTTTATCATCAATAATTGTTATCCAATTACAATTTGGACATAATTTATATGTATTTGGATATTGTTCTGATAATGCTTGAGCCAAATTTTGTTGATAACGTTCTCGAAGTTGAATAGGTAATTCATCATAATATAATATTTCATTTTTATTTATTTCTTCGGTACATGATGGACATTCTATTTTTCCTTTACCTTGTTTAATACCCGTTGATATATGTGTTATAAAACACATTGAACATAGATTTGTGTTACAGCATGACATGTGTTTTTGGCTTAATGAATAAATGGGATCACAACAAATTGGACAAATACCAATTTCATCATTATCTTCAGCCATTACTAAACGTTGAATGTTAAAAACAGGTGCAAGAAAATTTGTCGTTCTAATATCCCTAAAAAGACAAGAACAATACAACTTTTGAATATTGTGAATTTTCTACTAGATAGCTTATTCGAACTAAATCGAATATGTACCATACAAAAGTTGTAAATTGAATGTCACATTTTCGATATAGTAACATGTTTAGGACAATTCATTGTTTTGAAATGTTATTTAAAAAAAAACTGTATACGTACAAATTTTTTTTCTTAAAATGATATGAGGAAAAATTTCGAATATCACGCACCTCTCTACCGGATAATACATGTTTGTATAATTATCTATCTCTAAACTTTTAGATGAATTAGTAATAAAAATAGTATTTAAATTTGATGTATCATTTCTTCTTAAATTAATATCAGAATCTGTATAAGACTGTTGTCCATAACGATCAACCGTTTTTCTTCTTCTTTGACTAAAGAATGGCCACGTTCGAAATAATCTATTCGTACGAGAACGTTCATCAACAACAGCCATGCATATATATTTGTATGAAAAAATAAATACTACAAGTAAAGAAAAATATTTAGTTTAAAATGATGATGAAAACTTCTTCTAAAGACAGTGTAAAAAATAAATAGTCTTGTCATTTGTTCAATTTTAAGTTTATTCAATGTTATCTAGTCAAAAAATAGCTCTGTTTTTTTTTCCTATATTTTCATCTGGAATAAAATAAATAATAATAAAATCATTATACACGACTTTTTACACAATTACTTGTGGACGAAAATGATGCACGTTTTTACTGTTAATAAAAAAAAAAAAATATGGAATGAAAAGTAGGAAATGCGACTATAGAATAGAGGTGAGTAAAATGTAAAGTCAAAATAAAAAAAGAAAAAGAAAGAAAGAAGCAGAAACTACGATTATTTTGATAAATATGTTTTAGAAACACATGGCATTAATATATTTTGATATATTGCAGCACATAACTTCATTGCACCTTTACAAGAAATAGTCATTATATCGCAGAGAAAAACAGAAGAGTAGATCCTACATTCGTCATTATTTTAATTTTTTTTAAAACTTATCGTTCCTTTTCAGGGAAGCGAAAGAGAAAACTATTTATGCTGAAAAAAGTAAGCATTTTTACAGTGATATGATTTAATGGAGATATGCGAGAATTATCCATTGTCATCCAAACTTTTCAAATCATGGTAGCAGACAATAATATGATACAAAGTTAACCTTATTTTATCTTATGTCGATATAAACAATTTCATAAATTGTCCTAAACGTATAATATCCGAATTTGTACAATCATACTTATGCCTCCATAAATATTCATCATTTCAAGAAAAATTAATAACAAATTATTTATGCAGCAACACATTTTTCATTACTCGTACATGTAAGTAAAAACATCAACATAATTCAACAATTCTAGTCACTATTTTATAATATATCTCCAAAATAAGTTTTCTTCTTTTGTCTGATCTGTTATGCAACGAGTTTTAGATGGATAAAAAAAAGTTATCTTTCGAAAAGTCAATAAAACATCACCAAGTAGGAATAAGTGATGCATTTTATAATGTGTTTAAATATTTTTAAGACGATATTTCTATATTTCTTAATCTAATTATACAGACATCGTGCTTTAGGCGCAAAATTGATGAAATCTTCTTTGTCTACTATCCAGGGTTGGGTGAGTTAAGCCACTGTTTGAGTCGAGTCCGACTCATTTTGGAGCGGTTTCAAGTGGAGTCACCAGTGTTTCCAAGTTGAGTTGAGTCACCAGTATTTTCGAGTCGAGTTGAGTCGAATCAAGTTATTTTTGCCATTTTTTCATTTTCTGTTTATTTTTCTAAACAACGTTTACAAACAATTTTTTCATGACATAAATCTAGTTCCTAGTTTTTATGCACAAAAAATCGTTCTGATGTAATATATCCAATTAGGACGAAAGTTATGAATAAGTGCAAATTTAATCTTACAAATTGTAATTTTTTTATAATAGTAAATGAAAATTTTTTTGAATGACTGATTCGAGTCAAACAGTCGAGTCAACGTCGCCCAGTTTTCGAGCCCGAGTCAAGTCAGAGTCTTTAAAAAAATGGAACTCAGACTCGAGGGATATAACAGACAAGCACCATAATAATTGAAGAGAATATTGCATAAAATTTAAAAAACAAAGCAGATCGAGTATAATAATATTGTTTTTGAAGATTCTTTTTGTAATTTTTGTGAGATATACTGTATTTTCCTGTGTTTATCCATGTCAGTAATGATGACATACTCTTTTGTCTAGATCCTATAGAATGTATACTCGACATTCATGCAAACAGAAGATTTGACAATTTTATACACACTGTATTTAAAATCCTTGAGGTCTTTCACGATTGTTTACCAATTAGTCATTTTGACATTAATTCGCCCTTCGTCTTGAAGCAGACAAATGATTAGTATTTTGTGTTTTTTCTAAATATATAAAAGCGATCCTATCTATCACTTTTGTTATTCATGAAACTCAGTGTAAATTAGACCTTCGTATAAGTAGTACAACTTAAACTGTCAAATAATATTTTGCCATACTTTGTCTCCGATAATGAGAAAAAATAAGTGCTTTCATTACGAATTAAGCCATGCTCGAGCATATTATTTAAATAATTAGTGCTGCTAGCACGAACGAGACAGATGTAGAATATTAAATTTGTAATACGAATAATACCGACATCCTAGTAGATATCTAAGCCATTACACGAGAAAAATGCCTGCTTACCACAGAAGCATGCTTAATGACGATCTCAGATATTTTCCTAATCGTTCTTATCTTGTAGAGTATAGTATACACGAAAACTTATAAATTCAAATTTTTAACCTTATCAGAACGTAGGTTTCAATACTACAGCAAGAGTTTTCGAGAGTGCTTAGCATAAAACTTTGGCGCTGAAAAGAAAACGTAAAAATGCCATTACTCAGTCAATAAGAATGATCAGAGTGAGAGTTTCTCACTATATCTAGTCTATGACGTCCTCTATTCGATGACATAGTTATATTTCTTTTATCTCGAAACTTCAGTTCAAAAACCCGAGTTTCTGGACAACTGCATAGGTTAAGCTTGTTATGTTCCGTTCCCGAGGTCATCTACCCACAACGAATCCAGAACAATTTTTCCTTATATATTTAGCCATGAGCTACCCAAATCTGTTTTCAAAAGTTTGGACAGTAGAAAGGGTCTCTGGAAAACCGACATATACTGGCGGCAGAAATTATTTCTACACTTTTCTTTTAATCATAACTTGGTAACGAAAAAAGCTTTTGACAAGCAGTTTGCGCCAAAATATTTCCGCTCTCTCTAGTATATTTCTAGATAAAAAAAGTTAGAAATATTCATCGTTGCTAGACGAAGAAAATATTGTTGCTAAGAAATATCGTTGCTAAGAAATATCGTTGCTAGAAGTTAAAAATATTCATCAAAGCCCATCAGACCGGAAAATGAACGTTTTGTATTGTTAAAAAATAAAACTATTCGTACTGTTGATAAAATTCTTTTTTTACGCTGTATAAGCACCGACAAAATATGAAAACTACATCAATGGACAGAAGAGAGCGCGGACTACATTTTGGTAAAAAATAATTTTGAAAAGCTTTTTCTGTAGGGTGAAAACCCGACTTTAAGCTAAAAGTGCCATACTCTTCAGTATGGCTGCTGAATCTCGAGAATGCGTGATTCTTGTGCAGTGACTCCTAAGTGGACAACTTTTTTCAATCCATGGAAAGATTGATCGCCTTGTTCATATGTCCATAGATAAAACAAAAATTTTACCCATGTCCATGATTGTTCATGACGCGAACATTTTTTTTCGAAAAATATTTTAAAAAAAACGTTCTGTAATATCCTTCTAAGAAGTGGAATATATTACTCAAAATAGTAGATTAAATAATATATAATAATGTAATAAAACTTTATTACAAACAAGTTAAATTTAAAATATCAAAAATAGTAGATTTATTTAAAACATCTAGAGAATATGTACAAAATACATAAAAAATGTTCATCTATTGCAAATCTTCACATTCAAATTAAATCTTTTTCTTAAAGTCAAGATTTGTACCGGTGCATAAAATTTTTACACAAATAAGACATCTAATTTATAGCCCTTTGAAATAGATAATCTTTCTCATCATAAGCTTTTCTTTAAATACCTATAGAAGTTATTGAACTCAAATCAAGGATTCCGTACGTCAACATTGTTTTTTTCGATCAAAAGTATTGACATAGAAAAAAATACTGAATCTGTCTACTTTCAAAATCTACAACATGTTTTAGTCCAGAAATATCTATGTAAAATGTATGAAAATGTTTGCTAAAAATCTCGGAAAACGGGATAGTTTGAAATTACGTTTTTTTCATCAATACGCACTAAGTTAATTTCTTTTATTTCAGAAACGATAATTGTTTAAAAAAAGGCAAACAAAGATGAATGTTTTATCAAACTTGATTACTTTTAGAGCAACAGTTCATTTAATTTGATATCAAGTCTTTTTCCCTTTACTTTTTCTTGACATCGTGTGTCATCCGTCCATGTAACGATTCCAGCATCGTTAATCTCCTTGTTTAACAATGGTCAGACCTGACTTGCATTTCCATTTCACATCCAGTATTCTAATCTTAAAGAAAATCAACAACTCTTTCAAACCATCAAAAAAAGCATTAAAAACTTTTTAAAAAATGTTATGGGTATATTTTATTCGATATAGCACATTTTGACATATATTCGTCACGTTGTTCCCATTATTTAAAACACAGTGGCGGCAAAAATTATCCATCCATCACACTACTCTTTTTGTTTTCATCATAACTTGGTAACGAAAACGGCTTTTGACAAGCGGTTTGTATCGAAATATTCTCCGCTCTCTCTCGTATATCTGAAGATAAAAAAAGTACGAAATATTCACTGTTTTCTTGTGTACGTCCATTAGACCGAAAAGTGAATGTTTTACGGTCGGCAAAAATTTTCCATACAGTTGATAAAAAATCTTTTTTTACGCTATATAAACAATGATAAAATATGAAAACTACATCAATCGATAGAAGAGAGCGCGGGCTACATTTTGGTAAAAAAGTAATTTTGAGAAGCTTTTTCTTTAGGGTGAAAACACGACTTTAAGACAAAAGTACCATACTCTTCAGTGTGTCTGCTGAATGTCAGGAACGAGTGGGTAAAAAATAAATTCTAAACCATTCCAAAGAGCGTCAAAAACTTTTATCTACAAATATTTTAGAGAGAGCGTAGAATATGTTAGTGCAAACCGCTCATCAAAAGCTTTTTTCGAAACGAGGAAGAGTGGAGCATATGGAAAGTCCACTGTAGACTAACACATCGACATTCTGATAGCAGTAAGAAGGCCATTAAAATTCAAAATTCTATATTTTTATTTTGATATTTCCCTGATTCCCTCTCCATTATGAACAGCGGAGCAAGTTCATAATGGAGAGGGATGAGTAAAGTATTCCTCTCACACCAATAACAATC